AAAAGCTACTCTGCACCTCCTGTCAGTCGATGAGAGGAGCTCAGTGGGTGAAACTTGGCTCTCTCTACCTCCTGATTCACAAGACTCCGCCAAGATGTCACCTTTCCTGGGACATCTGCAGACCCTAGGCTGAACTGATTACTTCTCCTAAACTTACCCCAACGCCAAAAAGATCCCCTCCCCCAATCGTTAATTTTGAAAAATTTGGCATCGCATTTCTTAGCCCACGAGACTGTTTCACTACCTGAGGGAAGTAGCATTTCTTGCTTGTAGCAGGTTGCTTTTCGCCAGCTCTCAGGGTGGTTTCCTCCTGTATGAGCTTGAATAAAAACATCTTATTGATTTTTACTGAAATCCTTAGGGAGTTTTTTTCATTTGCAATTGAAAAATTAATTTAGATTTATGTTATTTCAGAACGCTCTGAATGAACTCCCCAAAGAATGTGTCAGAAGCAAATACACTTTCCATCGGGAGAAAACTCTTTTCTGTCACTAAATAGACAGTTTGCAATAAATTCACATTTGTGTTATTGCTTAAGGACACCTAAAGCTCTCTCACATTGCTTTATATCATTGGTTTAAAATAACCAGCATTCCGGATAATCCCCCAAAACATTTGTGTATTGAACTTTGAAAAGTAACTGAAAATCTGGTATAGGACAGTTGCTTGAATTGACAGTATTTCAAACGAAAAACTTACAAAAAGCCATGCAAAAAAGGCTTAACACAGAATCTTAGTTGACCAACATCCTTGCTGCCCATTTTATGATAGAAATTGAAAGCATCACATGCTAAACCAGAACTGCCTTCCTGGTCTCAGCATTTCTTGATGGGGACAGAGTCAATGAGATGTTTTGGCACTTTGTAGGAGTTGCTTCTTTTTATTCTGTTGCCCAAATAACAGTGACTAGCACTAAATCTTTTAATCTGTACCAGTTTCATAGTATGGTTCTCTGCCACAACCGTAACCCTTTTATAAAAATAAAAAACCCGGTTCAATCATTGTTTGCAATCTATGCCCTTTCCTACCTAATAAAATAGTAGTTTTTGTGATCTAATATTTCTGATGAGTACAGAAGAAAGGATCATGGGGACGAAAGGTCATGGGCAGGTAGGGCTACAGATTTTATGTTGAATTCTGGGAGGGATTCAAGAGCAACCTCTGTGGCAATCAATATAGTATTGCTGAATAAGTATGGGGTGCGTATCATTGACATCTCATGGGATTTAGCATTTGGGGTTGGTTGTGCTTGTGTGCAGTCTTAGGAAGATGACCATTCTTTACTAGTCATGTTGTGTTCTTTCTTGCATTTAGTTTGCCCTAATGGAGCAGAACTCTAGTGACACAGATTGTGTGTCTGTATGTATGTATGTGATTGTGTGTGTATGTGTATGTATTGAGGAAGAGGGCCAGAGAGAAGCAGAAATTTTCTACATGAAGTCAGTAATGAGCTAAAATGTTTTATGTGCAAAGGGGGCTTCAGAATCTCAATGACATCTTTTAAAAACCTAGTAAGTGTAAGCATTCTTTAACTTGGGCATCCTAGTGGCACCTATATATTTTTTTCATTTAATTCTGAGGCTTATATTGGGCTAGATAGCATGATTAATTGTAAATTTTCCCCACAGGAGATTGGTTTTCTTCTTGTAATGTCTTTTACACTTTTTCTTTAAATGTAGTCCTGTCTTAGCCCCAGCATAATAGTGCTTTCTTTTTTCTTTTCTTTTTTTTAAGGTAAATGCTTTATTTACCTTTTGGTGAATATATTTATTGCCAGTAGGAATTTGGATATAAAGATCGAAAAATCAGGGTTGATGTTATATTACCACATTAACCTTTATATGATTTGGTTCATTATTCCCTCCATAGTTAATTCTAAGGTTACTTCTGTTTAATGAAATCTATAAACCTGATAAAATTGTACATTTTGAGAGAAATTGTCCTTTTGGTTAGCTAAATTGTGCCAAAATATGGACTTTCCTTGAGACTTCTAAGAAAACCGAATGTGCAAAAAGTTGGAGGGAGTATGTAGAGGGATTAATTTCTAGACTGTATTTAAGAATTTTTCTTAATACACTAGTACTCAAATTGAAAGGGTAATTGTGGTCTATAAAATTGCCAGTAGTTGAATTATTAAGGAAGGTGAGAAGAGTCTAATTTTCAAATTTAGCTAGGTCATGTATTATCTGAGCTGTTAGGTCTCTGGGGTAAAAAAATCCTTTTTCCTTTTTGAAATGGTGATCCCTATGGCAGCCATTATGATGTCACTTTTCAAGGTTACTCTGTAAAATGACTCCCAGATATCTTTCTTCAGTGGGAACTAACATCTCAGAGTCCATTCATTCTATGAGTACAAGGACAGCACCTCTGTTACCTTAATTGTTTTCATTGCCCATCTTCAGCTGTTATATTTTCCTTGATATATAGAAATCAGAGGTGTATGCAGTATCACGGGGCCATATTTCTTATGCTTTCATTCAAAGTTAGAAAAGAATTTTCATTGTTATTCTACAGATCCTTCCTGAAGATGCCCAGTATTGGGGGGAATTTTAGAAACAGCCATACATGGAATTAAAGGTTTCAGGAAATCCTTTATAATAAATTATATGTGTATCACGCTAGAATTGTAGTTTTTCTTACTTTCTCTCAAATTGTGCTCCCCTTATCTTATACCCCTATTGAAGTTTATTTTATTTATTTTTTAAATTTAAAAATAGTTGGTATGCAATATTATATTAGTTTCAGGTGTACAATATAGTGATTTGATATTTATACACCTTTACAATGGGATCACACTAAATCTAGTAATCATGTGTCACCCTATAAACTTATCACACTATTATTGACTATATTCCTCTTCACCTTTTCCACCCATCCCCCATCCCTCTTATTGAAGTTTATTTCTCAGTTTTCTACCTATTTACACAAGACATATGTAAATTTGTATTGTATAATTTACATTTGTTTGCTTGACATTTTTCTACCTAGAGTAATGCCATCACTGGAAATTCCTTGAGTGGTTCATCACCTTCACTATGCATCAGAATAGAGCTTTTTGCAACTGCAAAGGCCTGGGTCCCACCCCCCAGAGAGTGGGGGCTGGGAGGGGCAGGCATTGCTAATTTTTTTAAAGCAGTTTAGGTGGCTGCAGCCAGTGTAGAAAGCCCCTGATCTAGGTCATTTATAAATGTACTCCTTCATATTGGGCCGATCTCTGAGGATATCACTGTTGACACTTTGGCTTCCAAATTAATATCCATAAACTCCAAATGTTTTCTAAAGTCCCAGGTTATGGCGAAACATTTTTTCCAATTCCTTGCCAGCTCAGTTTTTCTAGTACTTGGCAGAATGTCTTTGTCTGATGCATTTCTGACAGCTATTAATCACTAGCTACTACTCATCCACAAATTTGTCTTGCTACTTCCACTAACAACTCTCTTTATGTCACAGTTATGCTGTCACATCCACAGCACACACTTTTAATTTTTTGTGAAATTATTGTTGAACATCATGAACTCAGTATGTCTTATGACTTCCCCTTATGGAAGATATGCTACATTTTATCATCAAAGACACAAGTGGCTGTGCTTTGCAGCCCCCTGTATTAGCTGTTTGTAATCTTAATATCCAATCCCTTTTATTTATCTCCCTGTATTTTAGTAGCTGCTGCTAATGCCATTGCTCAAGAAAGACGCAATCAGAGTGGATTTAGCTCCCTTCCACCCCAATCCTCAAATACAAGATCAGTATGTAAACCAGGTATAATTCCTAGAAAGCTTTGGAAGATGTCAAAGTAGCATATCATTAAAATTTGATATCCTATTAATGTCTAACTATATTCTTTTCTTTTTTAGTGCTAGATGGATCTGTGCTTAAAAATGATATAAAACAAAAATTAGCCAAGGAGCGCAGAGAAGAAAAAAGAAGACAACAGGATGGTATATTTTAGACTTTTTTAAAAAAAATTAATGAATGAATTTTATATTAAGGTTATATATTTCCAAATTGGTTTTTACTTACTTTTCCTAGTCTGATTATATGATAGATCTTACTTTTTACATTATGTATTATATTGGGTTAAATGTTTGTATTAAATCAGATAAAGAAGGCCCATGAAAAAAATTTAACTGCGGTTGTTTAGTTTTTGAAGTAGTAATTTCTGTTAGCTTTAATTTTCTGAGAACTAAGGTATGAATATCTCAAACATTTGTAGAAACAGCAGCATGGGATTTCAATAAAATAATACTAAATTTTCATTTCAGAAAATGAAGCTGCTAAGAATCCTAACATAGAATCTTTCACTGATTGCTATGCTTCTCAAGTGTAACTGTGGATCAATTGAGATCTAAAAGTATAATCTTTTTACACCTTGAAAAAATGCTTTTTCAACTGTGTATTTTTCTCCTCTAGTCTTACAAATCCACTGACAATACTATTGCCCAACTTTACTAGTATTCAAATGGAATATCAATTACCACTGTTTTGATAAGGAGCTGTTTCTTCCTAACTCTAAGCCGGAGACTATTTTATAACTGCTAGATGCTCTCCAAGCTTAAACTAGGGAAAATTTGAATATAGGAAAATATCAAAATGTAGTATGTGACAAAGCCCATGATTGGCATGCTTAATATGGCCTGTATAGATGAGGAGGCTTTTAAAAGAACTTTCCTAGTTGATGCCGAAACCGGTTTGGCTCAGTGGATAGAGCGTGGGCCTGCGGACTGAAAGGTCCCAGGTTCGATTCCGGTCAAGGGCATGTACCTGGGTTTCGGGCACATCCTCAGTAGGAGATGTGCAGGAGGCAGCTGATCGATGTTTCTTTCTCATCGATGTTTCTAACTCTCTATCTCTCTCCCTTCCTCTCTGTAAAAAATCAATAAAATATATTAAAAAAAATAAAATAAAAGAACTTTCCTAGTTGAAGGGAAAAAAATCCATTCTGGCCATGTAGTCTTTAAAAATTATTGTTTTAATGCTTAACTTTAGCTCAAATCAGCAGAAACGTCAAATGTGTGAAACTACATTTCTTTAATTTGGAATTTAAATTTAAATTCAGACAGGATGAGAGTCATCTAAGCTAATTTAGTTCTTTGGAGTTTTTGTTTGGTGGCCACACATATACAATAAATATTTATTAGGTGCATGTTGTTTTTTTTAAGAAAGAAAATGAGATATATTGACTTTCTCCTTTGTGTATAATGTGGAAAACTAATATTTTCTGGATCTTATACTTTGTATTTGGAATATTTCAGCTACTAAAGAAATACAACTACTTGAAAAAGAAAGAAAGTCCAAGATCCAGTATGAAAAACAGATGGAAGAAAAACAACGAAAGCTGCGTGAACAAAAACAGAAAGATGAACAGCGAAGACTATCTGTTGAAGAAAAGAGAAAACAAAAATTACAGGAAGAAAGGGTACATATTTTTCTAGCCTATTAATCAGATGATATACTGTGTTGCCTGGGTCTGCAATACATTTTGTTTAAAATATATTTTTATTGATTTAAGAGAGTAAGGGAGAGAGAGCTAGAGATAGAATAGGTCAATGCTCAACCACTGAGCTATGCTGACTGGGCGGAATACTTTTTTTTAAGCCTGTCTTTGCCTTTTACTGGGCCAACCTGTGGGAAGGGAACCAATCCCATTTCTTCATTTCTTCCCCTCAATATTAGAGACTCTTGCTGCTGTCCCAATCAGATCCGAGAATTGAGACCCACTGGCCTAGGTAAAGAGGAGCCTTGCAGATCCAGGACAAGAACCCTGTCCACCTTCAGAACATGGCACACGGGGTGCCTGTGGCCTGGGGTTTACTCTGAGAGGCTCTCTCTCCTACCAGAAAGCTTTCAGTGTTGGCCCAGTTCCTATTATGCACAGACCCACAGTCTGGCCCTCCCTGACAAGGCCCCATCTGATGGGCTTACTTCTTACAACTCTAATTGCATGACTGAGTCCCAGCCAAATCTACTGCTATGCATTCACCTGATTCCCTCTTGTTTGTACACACACTCTCTGTGTCCCTCTCCTTCTCCCTCCCTCTAGTTCATTTGTCACATTCCCTTCTTTCTGTCTGTTTTGTGGCCCACTGCTCTATTTTCCTTTCTGGACTCTTTGATAGTGTCTTTGGCACTCTCTTGGCATGTGTCACTGCCTTTGTGATACCCTCTTTTTCCCTTCTGTCCCTCTTTACTCAGTTTGTCTTTTATTACTTATACATGGACATCTGGCTCCTGTCTCATTCTGTATGATTCTGACACCAAATTTTTCTCCTGTAGGTCATTCCACTACTTTACTCTGAGTAAATTGACTCTTTCTTCTGAATCCAGCAAATTCTCTGTGACACCCTTCTTTTTCTTGCGGGCATACTCTCTTTTCTTTATTCCAGTGATTCTCAAGTGTCCCTAAGCAAGTCGTAGTCTGTCTTCTGGTTCTCTGTCTGAAGTGCCTCACTTTTCTTTGTTTTAGTTTCTCTCTTTTTCTCTGCTCATCTTTGCACTTTCTGCCTGTTGTTCTCTCAGTATGTGTGTTTTTATATTCCTCTCTTTTTTTTTTCTTGCTCCAATTTTTACATTTCTTTTTCTTTTTTCTTTGGTTCCATTTCTCCCCCATGAGTCTTCTTCTCTGTGTCTTTTTCTGGTGCTCACTTTTCCTCCTTCCTTGTGCACACAGTTACTCTTGCATGTGCCTCACTCCCAACCCCTACCTCCATCTTTGGATCTTTTTTTAAAATATATTTTTATTGATTTCAGGGAGAAAGAAAGAGGGAGAGAGACAGAAACAACAATGATGACAGAGAACCATTGATTGGGTGCCTCCTGCACGCCCCCTACTGGGGATGGAGCCTGCAACCTGGGCATATTCCCTTGACAGGAATCGAACCCGGAACCTTTCCATCCGCAGGCTGACACTCTATCCACTGAGCCAAACCGGCCAGGGCTGTGAATCTTTCTTATTCTAGGACTGTCCTTGTGCCATTTCTTCCCCATCTGTGATCCACTATCACTTTCTCTGTCTTTCTGAGCCTTTTCTGTGGTTTCTTATCCTGTCTTTTTTCACATTCCAGTATTTGATGGACTCTCATTTAGAATTTCGGTCATTTCCTTTTCCTCTGTGAGATGTCTCCTTAATTTATTTATCTATGTTAAAGAGAAAGGAGAGAGAGAGAGAATGAATGAGAATGAATATGAACTAAGTAGAGACATAGAACCAAATAAAGTAAAACAGAAAACTGCGGAGTTGGGGAGGGACCCTGGAGGAGAGAGGCAGTCTCAGGGACTGAGAAAAAAAATAACATCTTAGAGAAAGAGGAATCAGAGAAATAACACAGAAGAGAAGAAAATGAAACCTTAGACAGAAAGGAAGCCAGAAACATGGCAGGAAAAGAGACAGAAAGACGAGACAAGGCCAAAAGATGCAACACCAGAGAGCTAATGTAAGGGAGTAGAGCAGGGACATGGGACACTATAAGTAGGCTGCAGGTAGATCAGGGGAAAACCCCAAACTCGGTGGTGCTGAGGAAGGATGATAGATATTTCTGAGCCACAGTTGCAGGAAGGAACCTGAGAGCACAGGTTCATTTGGAAATCAATGCATTTGGAAATAGCAGGATAGAATTCTTAGAAATCAGTAATGTTCAACTAATACAAGATGAATTTCTGCTTTTAGAAATTCTGGTTTCCAAGTAATTTAGGACAGTTTTCTGGTAAAAATGTAATTTTAAAATACTGCCTGTAGATGCATTTTTAAATAAATTTTATTTCAAGAATTGTGATTGCTTCTCTCAGAGGATACGGATGATTCTCCATTTTCCTGTTATGTTTACCCTCTTTGCCCTCAGAAACGGTGGGGACATTGTAAGGATGGTGTTGCTAAGAAACAGTGGATGTCAGGAAAAAATAGAAAACCTGGTCCTGAAGTTGATTTTTTTTCATCTGGTATATTTCAGCACAGATATTGAAAAATATCTGAGTAAAGAAAACCATCTCATTTCTGACAGTGGAGTTGTTTTGCTACCCTATGACATTGACATTTGTGTAGCTGTTATCCTGAGAAGTTTAAATTGAAGTTGAGCTCAAGACAAACACACTTATTATTTTTTTTAAAACTGAATTAGTTAACACCAGAATTTAAAATGTTATAAATGGGTATATTTTAAAAAATACATGCCACAACCAGGTGATGGGTACTTGAGGGAATCAAGCAGAGGGGAAAATAATAGAACATAATGTATGATTAGTAAACACAAAATTGGACCCTCAGTCTTTGTATAGTTGGTAGAAATAGGCTACAAATTTTGGTTCTAATTTTCCTAATGATATAAGCAGAGGGAAGCACAGTTCTTTGATTCAGATTTATAAGATTAAAACCTAATTATTCAGTAGAAGCACTGATATTGATTGATAGCTGAGACATGTCTCTATTTTTAAATGTTTCTTTTTAATTGATTTGAGAGAGAAAGAGGAAGGGAGAGGGATAGAGGGATAGAAACATAGATTGGCTGCCTTCTGCCCGCCCCCTACTGGAGATGGAGCCCCCAACCTGGGCATGTGCCCTGACCAGGAATTGATCCAGTGACCTCTTAGTTCATGGGTCGACACTCATCCACTGAGCCACACCGGACAGGCGAGACATGTCTCTATTTTTAACTTTTACCTGATACAAAAGAAATTTTCCTGATAGAAAAATTTGATGATGGTGTTGTTTTATAACCCACAGATCAAAAGTATACTAACCACTAAAAAGAATATGTAAAAATTGTTGGCATTTAATAATGAATTTGGCATTTATTTAATTTTTTAAAATTTTATTTTATTAAATTTATTGGAGTGACATTGGTTAATAGGGTCATGTAGGTTTCAAGTGTACATTTCTATGATACATGATCTATCTGTATATTGCATTGAGTGTCACCACCCAAACTCTATTAATCTTCTGTTACCATATATTTGGCTCCCTTTACCCTTTATTACCCTCCACCTCCTTCCCTCTGGGAACTACCATACTATTGCATTTATTTTAAATAGGAGAAATTCAAAGCTGTTGTCTCTCGTACATTGGAGCGGAGCAATCGTATTGAACAACGTCAAAAAAGATGGTCATGGGAAGGCTCTATGACAGTGAACTCTGAAAGTAAAACGGGTAATTAATACAACAATTAAACTTTAAGTTCATTCATGCTGATGTTTAAATATTGTCTATTAGTATAAGGTTGCATTTACCACAAGGTTTTGAGTTTTGTATCTTAAATGAAAATGCCCCAATGTACTTTTTGACATGCACAGTATTTCACCTGTGTTGTGAGATTGCAGAAGAAACAGGTACAAATTTTATAACTTTATTTTATCCAGTATATTCAAAGTCTTACACAGTTAAACTTGCAGTTAGTATAAATTGATTAATAACAAACAAGCTTGACACACTTTCCAATGATAGTTTTAAAATAAACTAGTTCTGCCCTGTTCACTATTAACATACTGTAAATTATGCTACATGTGACATACTCTACACAATTTCATAAAAAGTAAGTTAAATTACATAGCTTTTAAGGAATGACTCACATTGTGTACTTAATTAATGCCTGTTTAGGCTCCATAGAACTTCATACGAACTCATTCTGTTTCAGCCAATGATGCTTTTTAAAAATACGAGTGCAGTAAAAATTCTGTCTTTTCTCAGTCAAGAAACGGTCTGTATCTACTGAAAAACTAGAACAGGATACTTCTGGATCACACAAACAAGTGACACTGTCATCTCCTGGTGTTCAGAATTCTGTTGCCAAGAGTAAGTAGTTATTTCATGTATTCCACTGAATTTCAAATCAACGAAATCAATTCTTTATATGTATTTTTACAGTACCACTTCTTTAGATTGTGCCACATTTAGATATATTACAGAAGAGTACCACATTGTTTTACAATAGAGATGGTCATTACTATTTTGTATTTTCATCAATATATCAGTATAACTATCAATGTATGTATATATAAAATCAACATATCATATAAATATTAGTATAAATTCTTTTTGTGATTTGTGTATTTTTAAAAGATATATATTTTTATTGATTTCAAAGAGGAAAGGAGAGAGCTAGAAATATCAATGATGAGAGAGAATCATTGATCTGCTGCCTCTTGCATGCCCACACTGGTGATCGAGCCCACAACCTGAGCATGTGCCCTAATCGGGAACATAACCAGGAGGTTATAACCTGAGCCATGCCGGCTGGGCTGATTTGTGTATTAATCATATCAGAAGGGTTTGTTGGGCTCAGGTAGCCTAATGTAAAAAAATATTTTGTTTTTCTTTTTATTACTTGAAAAAAATTTTATATATATATATATATATATATATATATATATATATATATTATTATTGACAGTATTACAGATGTCCCCCATATCCCCTCCACCCTTTTCCCTCCTCTACCCAGTCCCCACCCACCCCCAGGCCTTCACCACACTATTTTCTGTGTCCATGGGCTATGCATATAAGTATATAAGTTCTTTAGTTTATCTCCTCATCACCTCCTCCCTCCTGAGATATGTCAGTCTGTTTCATGCCTCTTGACTTATTTTGTTGGTTCATTTATTTTGTTCATTATTTGTTCAAATAAGTGAGATCATGTGATATTTGTCTTTATTTGACTGGCTTATTTCACTTAAGAGACTTTTTTTTTTACAGCTGCATAGTATTCCATTGTGTAGATGTACCACAGCTTTTTTATCCATTTATCTGTTGGTGGGCACTTGGCCTGTTTCCAAATCTTAGCTATGGTAAATAATGCTTCAATGAACATAGTGGTGCATATATTCTTCTTAATTGGTGTTTCAGGGTTCTTAGGATATATTCCTAGAAGTGGGATCACTGGATCAAGTGGCAGTCCCATTTTCAGTTTTTTGAGGAAACTCCATACTGCTTTCTATAGTGGCTGCACCAGTCTGCATTCCCACCAACAATGTACTAGTGTTCCCTTTCTCCAAATCTTCGCTAACACGTTCGTTGATTTATTGATGATAACCATTCTGACAGGTGTGAGGTGATATCTCATTGTAGTTTTAATTTGCATTTCTCTGATTATTGACATTGAGAATGTGAAACATTTTGACCAAAAGTCATCACTGTTAAGTGACACAATAATTTATTTTAAAATTAATTCTTATTCTTTCTAACCTATAAATGAAATCATTTTTTCTAGGGACTAGTTAAGCTAGTCATTCAATTTTCATTAAGTTTCATGAATAAATGAAAATTTAAGGAAAAACATATATATACATATAGAAAAGGCAGTCAACAAATTGATCTTCTTTATATATATTTGTTATTCACAACAGCCTTGTAAAGTTGACAGGCACGTGTAATTGCCGTTCTGCTTTTATAGTTAAAACCCCAATGAATTTATCTACTATGACTACTTCAAATACCCTTTGCTCCTGGTGTTTGCCCTTTTAATTAGTATTCCTTATTTTCAATATCTGAGTGTGTGTCAATGACCATTTCTGGCTTCTAACACATGGTGCTACTCACTGATAATTGAAATGGATTAGGTAAGCATACCCATCAATTTAAAAAGTCCTTTTTATTTCTGGAAATAAAAATAGAAATGGTCTTGGCAGGAAAAAAAAACATGGTAAACATTCTATAACATTCCTTCAAACTTAGCATTAACAGGAAGAAATACCTCTTTTATACCTTATGAATTGAGAAATAGGTGTAATTATAATTTGAATTAAAAAGTGCTTTTTATATTATTAGGTGCCTTGACAGTTTTGGGAACAATGGTAATTGCTATAAAATTCCAGTACAAAAAAAAAAAGATTCTGGATCTAATTTAAAGTAGTATAATTAATTGTAGCAGTGATTAACTTAGAAAGATTTCCAGTTTGTCTAAATATTATAGTTTTAATATGTTGACAGTGATATTTGTTTTGTTCATACTTACATTATGCTATTTGTACTTTTAGGACTTGTACAGTTTCCAAAGATTGCTTATGAGGTATTTCATGAGTCAGTTTGCGTGCATCACATTTTTTCTTATATTGGTCTAACAAAAGTTGATCCTCTTACCACTGTTACCCTCAGTATGCTTTCCCAAAGCACTTTTATTTTAGCCCAGGTCCATTCATAAATTAATGTGGGAAGATTTTTTTGTAGCACCTTGCTGGTCATATAATAAATTTAATTTACTTTTCACTAACTCAGTTCTTTCACAAAATTAGATAACATCCATTGCAATGGCATGTTTATGTACTTTTATTTTAATGTATCTTGTTTCATAAGCACTGACTATGTTTCACTGTCTAATTGCTTTGAGGAATTAGCAAAGATTTCCTCCAGAGATATTTATTACATTTTCAGTATACTGAGCAAACACTAATATGCTTTCATTGATTTGTCTACTTGCCATATTAATGAGACATGAAAAGAGATTGGACAGGTGATGATTTTGAAGTTAATAATTAGTTAAATTGCACTAAAGGAGCAATTCCAAGTAAATTTTAAATGGTTTTTATCAGTTTTTAATGCAAGAAGGTATGTGTGGAAGATAATTTGTGAAATAACTTGTTTAAAGGTTCAGTATATTGCACACCCTGAAATGATGAATATTGTAAAATGATTCTAGGGAAAACAAAATCAATATTGGCAGTGGCTTACATTAATAAAATCCCTTCAAATTTAAGTGAAACCTCTTCAATTTGGAGAGATGAACATTTCAAATTCAAATGAAGTTCATAAGGTAGCCTGTAATATTTTAAATAGCCCTGTTTTAAATCTTGGCTGATTCAAATAGTTTATTTTTCTTCTGCTCATTGCTGCTAAATAATAATTATTTATATTATTTTGTCATTTTTTGCAGTATGATGATAAAGGACGTGTGATTTAATTACCTGAATGAATCAATTACACCTCTTTGATTCATAATGTTCAATTATATTATCTATTCAAGAACTTTCAAATTATGCTATATTGTCAATATGTACTTTAATTGGAAGGTCCCCCAAAGAGAAATTATTAAACAGACATTGCTAAATATTCTGAACCAGAATACTTCAAGTGAAATGGAAAAGTGTCTACACAAAATAGATTATTTTCCCTATGAATGGTTTGGGTTGCTAAAATCGTACATCTATATTAATGATCATTTTTGTTTAAAAATACTAGATATAACTGAAGTATAAGTTACTTTAGTAATAGATGTTATGGATTATGTCCAAAATTAAAGGTTGTATATTCCTAATTTGGGAACTTTGATGTGGTCAGGTAGTATGAGATATTTACCCTCTTAAATTTTACTATCTTCTAAAGAATTTTATTTCATTTTAGGTAACTTACTTAAAGAGTAAACTCTTAAGTTTTGGGATGTAGAATCTCTACATCATATTTGAAATTTAATAAAAGCCCAGCGACTGTTATGGCAGAATGACTGGTCGCTATGATGCGCACTGACCGCCAGGGAGCAGACGCTTAACGCAGGAGCTGCCCCCTGGTGGTCAGTATGCTCCCACAGGGGGAGCGCTGCTCCACCAGAAGCTGGGCTCACGGCTGGCAAGTGCAGAGGTGGTGACACTAGCCTCTCCTGGCCTCCAAGGCAGCACGAAGGAGCAGCAAGCCGGTGATAAGGAGCAGTGGGTGATAAGGAGCAGTGTGCAGGCAGGCAGTAAGGTGTGAGGGCTCCCAGACTGTGAGAGGGATGTCTGCCAAGGGCTCCCGGACTGCAAGGGGATGCAGACCCCCCGCCCCCAGGGCATGAATTTCGTGCACCAGGCCTCTAGTCTTTAAATAAAAAATATAGCAAACTACATTACCCTACAGAAGCTGAACAAGTAGAAAGAAAATCAGGTAGGTAGTTATTTCTAAGTACCAATCTTAAATAGTGGTTTAAAAGAGATATATTTGTGGCAATATTCAGTTGCTTGCAAAGTCATTCCTAAAAGTAGAAGTCAAAATTTCCCTTCTTTAACTGAAAAATGTACTTTGGTGCCATGTTCATTTGGCTGAAGCTAGGAGAACCTGTCTTTAAATGAAATGCATAATACTGCCATTATCTGAGCAAGAGGTCTTTAATGAAGCTGACAAAGTAGATGTCAGATGTTGGAAGAGATACTTTTGTACTGGAGAACTTGATTTTCTTTAAGCATTTCATCAATTTGCATTTAGAAGTTCTAAATTACCAGCCATATTTTGAACCTCAAAGCTTTGTTCTGTTATCCCACGTCCTTCCTTTGTGAATGTTTTCCCCACTGATTATTGCGTGCAAGATATCACAATTATTACTGAAATACTTCTTTATTTAAAGTAGTTTCTTTCTCATACTTTTCCCTCTAACTTTTTCCTGTCCAACATGATTGTTGCTTTTTGTTTCATACCGAACCATTCACTTACTGAACACTCTTCACTTCATTGATTCAGGTCAAATGCCATTGTCACAGCGATCCTTATGAAAATAAAAATTTATTGCAGAATAATTCTGTTAATACCTTGGAGCTTTTGGCAATGGACTTGAGTAGTATGATTGTTAGCAGAGTTGTTTTGTCGTGTACAACATTTTTCTCCATATGTGAGTTTCTCCATAAAGACTCCATCTGTTGGATTCTGTTAAATACATTGCCTAGATTCCTTCATTGGCATTCTGTTAAATACGTTGCCTAGATACCTTTATTCAGGTACTCTCTTCCCTAACAGTGCAGTCTGGTCAGGTGGAGTGTTTCACTCTGATGTATGTGTTCTCATTGCCTCTACTTTTTGGCTAAAAAAGTTGTTTGCAGCAGTTCACATTGTTCTTTTTTGCTTGGCATTTGTTTGTGAGGCTTCAAATTGAATCCTTTTTATTTGTTCTCATCATTTAGTTCAGCAACTGTACACCAATCTTTGGGAGAATGATTTAATCATGCGCCTGATCGCCCCAACAAAAGCATCACTAGCCAGGAGCAAAAGTGCTGCTTCATTATCAATCCCTGGAAAAGATACTCCAGGTAACAGGCATAGGGTAGAAAGCTGGAAAGTGTTAATATTTGCACTTAAAGAGTAGGTTTTATCACTTAATTTGTTGCAATAAGGCATGAAAATAATTTGAATCAGTAGTTTCCAAATGAGTGATTTTACCCAACAGTTTATATTGCCTATTTATTTTATGACTTCTAGCATTGTAGAGTAGTTATCTGGATAATAGGTAATTTATAGGATGAGATAGGTAATTTTGTTGGTGAATAAATTACAAAGCTCTCTGGTTTTCTTGACCTTGCTTAAATGTGTCACAATACTATAAAAAGTACTGGATTTTATTTTATTTTTTTATTGTTTAAGGTATTACAAATAGTAGTACATATGTTTCCTTTTTTTCCCCACTGACCTCCCCCCAGCCTCCCCTATCCCTTGGCACTTGCCCTCACCCCCCTCCCAGTGTCTTGCATCTATTGGTTGTGTTTATATGCATGCATACAAGTCCTTCGGTTGATCTCTTACCCCCCCAACCCTCCCCTATCTTCCCCCTGTAGTTTGACAGTCTGTTCGATGCTTCTTTGCCTCCATCTATTTTTGTTCAACAGTTTATAATGTTCTTTGTATTCCATAAATGAGTGAGATCATATGGTATTTATCTTTCACTGACTGACTTATTTTACTTAGCATAAGTGCTCTCCAGTTCCATCCATGCTGTTGCAAATGGTAAGAATTCCTTCTTTTTTACAGCAGCATAGTATTCCATTGTGTAGATGTATCACAGTTTTTTAATCCATCCATCTACTGATGGACATTTAGGCTGTTTCCAAATCTTAGCTATGGTAAATTGTGCTGCTATGAACATAGGGGTGATTGGTGTTTCTGTTTTCTTGGGATATATTCCTAGAAGTGGTAGTATAGAAAAACTTAACATGAAGGTAGGAAGTTTCCTACTCTACCTTCCTTTTATTCCTAAAATATGAAATAATAATATTGAGCTGCTCTTTGGCTTTTAACTAAGAACATAAAGATTGTTACTAAAGTAAGTCTTCAGGGTTATGGGAATTTTCTCATTTATAGGTCACATATAGTGTTAGACATGCCTGTGGGTAGTTAGACATCCTCAGTAATGGAGAGCTCTAACACATTGTTCCCATCATTTGTTTTCTCCTTTTTCTCCATTTTTAAATTTCCAGAATATATCCCACCCCTTTGATATTTTTCAGTCAATATTCATTTGATTCGTAAAATAAATCAAAATGCTCTCACTTTCTAGTATTGCATATTTACTTCTTTAGTTTCGAATTCCTGACTTTGTTTATGTATTTATACGTCTGTCAGATTATTTTCTGCCATTCTCCCTTCAATCTGTTGTAAGCTATTTCTAATTTCATTTTTTAAAATAATTCTATTGATTTTAGAGAGGAAGGGAAAAGGAGAGAGCGGTAGAAACATCAATGATGAGAAAGTATAACCAGTCATCCGTGCCTCCTGCCCAACCCGAGCACGTGCCCTGATCTGGAATCGAACCACAACCTCCTAGTTCATAGGTCCACGCTCAACCACTGAGCCACATTGTTTAATATATTACTCCCATCAGAAAAATTCTACATTTTGTCTTAAATTTCTGTAGCTAATAGAAATTAAGTTATTATACTTACTATATGTTATGTAACACAAACTGTTGGCGCATGTGGATATGTAAATAAAATGCTTGCTTCACCAGCCCTGCCTGGCCAGGTGGCTCTCTTGGTTGGGACATCCTCCAGTACACCAAAAGGTGAGAGGTTCGATTCTGGTCAGGGCACATATACCCAGGTTGTGGGTTCAATCCCTGGTCAGGGCATATATGGGAGGCAACCAATCGATTTCTCTCTCTCTCTCTAAAAATCAATTTTTTAAAAAATTAATGCTTTCTTTACCAAAAGTGAGGGACTGAGTTAATCTTCGATAATTTGTTCTATTTTTATTATTTGACTAGAGGCCCAGTGCACAAAATTCGTGCACGGGTAGGGTCCCTAGGCCTGGCTGGCGGTCAGGGCTGATCTTTGAGGTGACTGGCGAGGCGATTGGGGGCCCCCACTGGCACCCGCCTTGGCTGGCCTGGTGCCGCCCGCTCACTGGCCCTGCCCCCCACTATTGCTGCCAGTCGCCTCCCTCTGCGGGGCAACTGGCGGGGCGATTGGGGGCCCCCGCTGGCACCCACCTTGGCTGGCCTGCGGCCTGCAGGCTGGGGGCAGCTCCTGTGTTGAACATCTGCCCCCTGGTGGTCAGTATGCGTCATAGCGACTGGTCATATTAGGCTTTTATTATATAGCATAAGATCACATTAAAATTTTCTGCCCATATTTAAAGATAATGTGACAAATTTATCATGTCTTAAGAAAGCCACCATCAAATATCTTTTTAAAAATGTTTACTGCATATTTTTCTTTGTGTTTGTTTTTTTCCCCCACAAAATGGGATCATAACCTGCTTTATTTTTTTGAGAGAGAGAGAGGAAGGGAGAAGGGGAGAGAAAAACATCAATCAGTCACCTCCCGTATGCACCCACAACCTGGGCATGTACCCTATCCAGGAATAGAACCTGCAACCCTTTGGTCCACAGGACGATGTTCCAACCAACTGAGCCACACCGTCCAGGGCATAACTTGTTTTTGTTTAAATTCAATATATGTTGTTTCTATGTCCAAAAATAGAATATTATTGCTATTAATGACTGTCTTAGTATAGTCCAAATTTCCTGTTGAATATTTGGATTATATTTTAAGTAGTTTCAGCATTACAACAAATGCTATTATAAATAATCTTGTAGCCCTAACCGGTTTGGCTCAGTGGATAGAGCGTCGACCTGCGGACTCAAGGGTCCCAGGTTCGATTCCGGTCAAGGGCATGTACCTTGGTTGCGGGCACATCCCCAGTAGGGGGTGTGCAGGAGGCAGCTGATTGATGTTTCTCTCTCATCAATGTTTCTAACTCTCTATCCCTCTCCCTTCCTCTCTGTAAAAAAATCAATAAAATATATTTAAAAAAAAAGAAGAATCTTGTAAATGCATTTTCACTTATTTGATTTTTTTCCTAAGGATAAACCTAGAAGTGAACTTGCTGGGACAAAGAATGTGTACTTTTAAAAATGGCTTTTGATATATTATTGCCAAAATGCCCTTCATGGAACATATGCAAAGCCATACTCCCACCAGCAGTTTATGAAGTGGCCCCATTCCCAAAATTGGTAACAAGTATTATCATTTTTGTCCATTTATTAGGCAAAAAATATTTAGATTGTTAAAACTGGAAGAGAAAAAAAAGATAAACAAAAAAGGGGAAAAGAAAACAAACTGGAAGAGACCTTGGAGGTCCAGCCCATTCTGATTAACATATTATTACAGTTTTTAAAAATTAAATTTATTGGAGTGACATTGGTTAATAAGTTTCAAATATACAATTCTATTAAAACATCATCTGTACTTGCATTGTGCACTGACCACCCAAAGTTTAGTCTCCTTCGGTCACCATATATTTGACCCTCTTTACCCTCTTCAACTTCCCTTCCCCTCTAGTAACCACCATACTGTTGTCCGTGTCAATGAGTTTTTTCGTTTGTGTGTTTGTTCATTTGTTGCATTTTGTTTTATATCCCACATGTAAGTGAAAGCATATGGTTCTTGTTCTTTTCTGTCTGACTTTTTTCGCTTAGCATGATACTCAGGATCCATCCATGTTGTTGCAAATGTACAATTTTTAATATGGAAGAGAAAAAATGCTCTTTTTTTCATTCTATTCTAAAACAATCATGTAAGTCTTACATAATCACCTGAAACAGTTAGTTCTCTGGCCCTGGTGAAATTGTTTAGATTACTTTTAAAAAGTGTTGAAAATCTTATAATTTTCTATGAAAATCATTCTGAATTATAGTGTGATTAAAATGGAAATGGCTCTTGCAAACATCAACTTTGGAGAAGCATCTTATATTTATCTGTAGCAGATTATTGCTTTCACGGTGATTCTATTGGTGGTGGTGCTTATGAAGTTTACCAATTTTGCCATGCTTTTGTCCTGTGATTAATTTCACTAAACACTTCTGTGTTATGTGTAATCCTTCTCATTTCCTAATAAACAGTCTCTCTCTTTTCTTTTCCTGTTCTTATACTGTTTCATGGTACATTTCTGTCTTGTCATATTTCTAACTGGAATTTCATTTTCTCTCATTCAGCCACAGACATCCACAGCCCTGTAGTACGGTCTACAAACATGCCCTTGCTTAGCCATAGCAGTGATGAATTGAAGAATACCATGGTACTTTGCAAGTCAACAGTGGCAGTACCCTTCCAGGAGAAAGTAGAAACATTCCTCAGGGTGAGCCTGGAAACACCCGCCGAGGTGAGTGTGGAAGCAGCCCCCAAGAGGAGTATGGAAGCAGCCCCGGAGGTGAGTGTGGAAGTGGCTTCTGAGGCAAGTGGGGAAGTGCACCCTGAGGTGAGTGTGGAAGCGCCATTCAAGGTGAGCATGGAAGCAGCCCCTGGAGTGAGCATGGGAGCATTCCCCAAGATGAATGAGAAACCACTTCTTGAGAGGTTGGAAACATCACCTGAGGGAAGCGAGGACATGTCCCTCATGAGCGTGGATCCATCTCCTGAGGTGAGCATGGACTCGTCTTCTGAGGTGAGCTTGGACTCATCCCCAGAGGTGAGCTTAGAAACATCCGAGGCACGCATGGAAATGTTCTACAAGGTGAACATGGAAATGATTCCTGAGGAAAGCTTAGAAACCGTCCTCGAAGAGAGCATGGAAGTGCCCCCTAAGGCCAATGTGGAAGCATCCCCCGAGTCCAAGTCATGCCCTGAGATGAACGTGAGAGACACTCCACAGGTTTGTCAAGTACCTTTACTGACTAATCTATTAAAAATCTGTTTATTTAATTGTATAGATTATTTGATAGGTCAGTTTTCCCAATAAAAACAACTTATTTATAACATTCAGCAATAAAATTAATAAAATAGGATAACTTTGTTTAATGATTTAAAATTCTGATATTCATTGTACCAATATATCCCAAAGCTGAAATACTAGTTTTTAGTAAAAGGGGAAAGATGTATGAGTTTATATGAACTATGCTTCTAAACTCTGAAGAAAAATTTTTTGAGAAATATTGTAAACTTTTAATTAGGATTTAGAAATAGAATTGGGTTTTGAAGTAAAATATTTCTTTTAAATTAATTATTTCTATGGCCTTGAATTGTGTAATATGAATTGTTATTCTGGAAGAACTTATCTCTATAGCTAATTCTTATGCATGTAAGGAAAATTAGGCATTTATGGAGCTAACATTGTGTATTATTGAGAATATTTTTATCTTAAAAAGAAAAGCCAGCTGAAGAAAGTTATTGCTAATAATTTCTTATCTGATTGTATTGATCTGTTCAGAAATCAAACCTTGTAAACAAGAAGCGCACATCGACACATACACCATTGTCTAAATGGCCATCTTCTGCAAGCGTATGGGGTTCACCCTCTCCTATAAATGTTAAGTAAGTAGCTATTTGCAACTGTTCCTGATATGTGTTTTACCAGGATAAATTTTACATCAGTATTTCATAATTGAAATAATGTAGTATACATGGTAATATAAATATTTAGAAAAACCTTTAATAGACAAAGGTCTTACCTTCATCTATTATAAAATCACATGATTTCATAATATATTTTATGAAATAGTACACTAAGAATTAATTGGCACATGTTAATTACAAAATCATATCAGACTTCCCCCCATTAACTATTGATTTTTCTCATTAGGCAAATCCAAAAGAATTGCCCACCATCAGTTTCACCGGTTGTGTCAAAACAATCAGAACAATCTTCTGTTCCCTGTAAAATAATTCCTGTTAAGCATACCCAACATACACAAAAGGTATTAGGTACGATCAGAAGGAAAAAAAAACGGTCTTCTAAAAAAACCACTAAAAGCTCTGAGGCCATGAACCAAAAGCATATGACCTATGACGGTAAGTTCCTTCACTGAGTTTATATTTTGGCAGGTATGGGAATGGTCAGCTCTATTTTATTTTCCAATTCAGAGAAATTTAAGGAGCGAGCTTTCTTTTAGATAGAGAATTTTTGCCAATCACTGGCACACTGCTTACTTTTCCTTGTGAGAGCTACTTTACCCACCCTTTAGTTGTTTTGGAAAATCTATTTTTAGAACTCATGTTAAAAGTACTTCTTGGATGAGTGTATTTCTAGGTAATCCCTGCAGTCCCTTCCAGCTCTGGTAGTGGATGGTTCTATGAATGGCTGAATGGGTTTCTATTAGAAGCTGTAGGTCAGTTGCTGTGCATAGGCCATAAGGTGTCTGGGATGTAGTTGGGTTCCTGAAAGTACCAAATTGGTATTTTTACCTGTCACATGTGTTCTTAATATTCAAGGATATTGCTTACTTTTAAATATACTGGCGAATTTTGCTTTATGAAGGAATTCCACAGTGAATTATTTAGAACAGGAATAAACTTTTCATTATAAATTATTTGTGCTAGATGTCTTATGACCCTCATTTTCATATGTTTATTTGAAATGAAGAAATTAGTCACATGGACTAAAATATTATCATATGCCTTCATGTAGCCGTTTTGTTATTGATAGTCTTGGTTTCTTTGGTTATCTACAGTTAGCCAGTTTATGATCAACCAACTATCATAACACACTAGTATCAATGGTTAGCTTCACAGTAATTATTTAGTAAAAATGATGAACAAATTTTAAAATGTATGCTGGATATATTTTTGTTTAGTCAAGTATTTAATATTTATATACTTTATTTAGATTGAATATAATCTTGTGTACATCTATATTAAGGATAAATCCTTTTTCCATAGGATCAATTAAGTAAGTTACCTCAAAACAGCTAAACCAAAGTAGGAGGGAGCAGCTCATTATTTCATTTTGGAACAAGTAGTTGTTAAAAAGAAACAAAATGCTATTTCTGTTATTGGGGGAGTGAGATTTTGAACAAAATCTGTTCTATAGTCACTTATAGATTGCTTTTTATACATTTTAGACTATATACATATTGTTCATTTTTTATATTATTGGTTGTCGTGCATCTCTTTATTGGAATGAGAGTCAGTAAGTTCCCTAAACTAACTGTTTCACATGTTAATTTAAGTAGAGTCTGGTAATAAAAGCACACAAGGGATTATGAATGCTGAGGAGGCAACAAAAATTTTGTCAGCGAAACGACGCCTTGCTCGTGAACACAAAGAAAAAGAAGAAAAACTACAAAAACAAATGGAGCAAAGGTAGGTACAATATCATCCTTTCTGTGCTATAAATCTTGCCTGGGCCTAAAGTTTGAAAGTCAAAACTTATCAAGTTAGATGTATTATAAATTCTCAAAGAGTGATTGACTTTTTCTTCAACATGAATCAGAAATGACTGTGGGAAGCATGTCAAGCAGAGAGAGGACACTGATGTGTAGATGAATGGTATAGGCCTCTTTCGCCTTCATGTATCATGAACCTTGAAGGTGTGCTATGGAGATGCATAAAGAGACCAAAACTCATCCGGCCAGCATTGCTCAGTGGTTGAGCGGCAACCTATAACCTGGAGGTCACAGTTCAATTCCTGGTCAGGGTACATGCCCAGGTTTCGGGTTCAATACCCAGTGTGGGACTTGCAGGAGGCAGCTGATCAAGGATTCTCTCTCATTATTGGTGTTTCTATCTCTCACTCCCTCTCCCTTCCTTTCTAAATCAATAAAATACATTTTTTTAAAAAGAGAGACTAAAATTCATGTCAAGATCCCAGATCTCAGCAGTTTCTGTTGGCATCCATTTGTGTCAGCCCCTATCTTTTTTCAGAGGTCTTGCAACTTTAGAATTTGTAAACCTAGAAAGTATACTTTTTTTGTGTTTTATTAAGGGTGCTTTCCAGTGACTTTTGGGACATCTCAATTTCATTAGTCATTGCTGGAAGGATTTCCTGTGATCAGTAGATCTCATGTAAGTTGTGTGCATTCTAATTTGATCGAAAGGTTTCTTGATCCTCCATCTTAAGGACATTCCAGTTGGGGCCCTGAAATGTCACTGCCTGATTGGTTTTATGTATTAAGTGTTTTTTAATACAATCACATACTTTCCATATTTTGTACATGGCTTTGGGAGAAAGGAGAAGAGGATATTGTGAATAGCAAAAAACTATAATTTGAAGACTATTATTCATTCCCTCATGTAAACAAAGCTGATTTAGCTTTTTAAAAATTTTTTATTGATTTTAGAGAGTAAGGGAGAAGAAGAAAGGGAGAGATAGAAACATCAATGATGAGAGAATCACTCACCAGCTGCTTCTTGCACACATCCTACTAGGGATCAAGCCTGCAATCCGGGCATGTGCCCTGTCTGGGAATCAAACTGTGACCTGGTTCATAGGTCGACGCTCAACCACTGAAACACACTGGCGAGGCCAATATATGTATATATATACATATATATACATATACATACATATATATTTCAGAGAGGAAAGGAAAGGGAGAGAGAGATAGAAACATCAGTGGTGAGAGAGAATCATTGATCGGCTGCCTCCTGCACATCCCTCACTGGGGATCAACCAGCAACCCAGGCATGTGCCCTTGACCAGAATCGAACCCGGGACCCTTCAGTCCGCAGGCCGGTGCTCTATGCACTGAGCCAAACCAGCTAGGGCCCGATTTAGTTTTTTAAAATATTTTTTTTTGTTAATCTTTACCAGAAGATATCTTTTACATTGATTTTTAGAGAGAGTGGAAGGAAGGGGAAGAGACAGAGAGAGATAAACTTTGATATGAGAAAGATACACCAATTGGTTGCCTCCCGCATGTGCCCCAACCAGGGGCCAGGGATCGAGTCTGCAACCGAGGTACATGCCCTTGAATGGAATTGAACTCTGGACCTTTCAGTCCGCAGACCGATGCTCTATTCACTGAGCCAAACTGGCCAGGGCTTTTTAAAGATTTTTAATTGATTTTTTTTTTTTAGAGAGAGAGGGAGAGGAAGAAAGAGAGAGAAACATGGATGTGAGAGTAAAACATTGATTGGCTGTCTCTTGCACGTGCCCTACTGGGGATCTAGCCTCAAATCTGGGCATATGTCCTGACTTGGAATCCAAACAGGCAACGTTTTAGTACACAGATGATGCCCAACCAATTTAGCCAAACTTGCCAAGGCTGATTTAGCATTTTAAAAGCACTCAGTACTGGTCTTTGTTGATTGGGTTTTCTTCCTCTAGGCACCACCAGACCTTCCTCTAAATTATCCCAATCACATCTCCATGTGATATTGGGTATGAGCATGTATAAGTGGAGAGTCCCATGTATAAGAAGTGATATTCTCCCTTCTTTCCCCCTCTTCATGTTTTAAGATGCAAAGTAGCCTGTCACTTGATAGTTCTACTCCCAAAGGCTAGTTTTCTCCATTTTAAAAGGTTGAAATTGTGCATATCTTGTGGAGTAACAACACACAAAATGTAGTGAATCTGTTATAAATGTAAAGTGTACCTACCGCAAGCCGTGTATGTTAGAGACCAAGATAAATACTAAGAGTTATTTAAATATTTGTGTCATCAGGAAAGAGAAAGATGTGACGAAGAAAGTATTTGAAGGCCAAGAAAGATTCTCCAAATTTGACCATGGACAGCAACAAAAGGCAGTAAAAAAGAAAAAAGGACGTCAGCCTCGAGAAAGCCAGCGAGTGTTATTACAGGTCTGCACTTTATCAGGGGATGAGAACTAGGTTATAAAATTCAGATGAAACCCAAAGCAAAAACCTGCTTCTCCAAGGATGCCACCTTCTCTGGCTGCATTTTTACATTACAGTCTAGCTAACATCCCACATCGCTATAAGTCATTCTCAGCCACCCTTGGCAAAATCCAAGAATGTTTAACAAAAGCAGAAAGCAGCAAATTAAAGATTAACAGTCCTTTAGTTTGTCTACATAAACAATATTGCAGCTTGGTTTCAGGAATCCAAACCACTCACACAGATTAAACGTCCTATGTGAATTTTCCCAATCCTGCATTCTGTGGTGACACTCACAATTGCACTTCACATCCCCCCAACAGAAAAGATAAAAATTATGAATACCTCTAAAAGTTTAAAGTCCTCAAATTTACCAATAAGAATGCCTCACCCATGTAAATTCAAATTACCAGGTAAATAATTCCCCAAACTCAGCTCAGTTTCAATAACCTATTTTACATTCCACTTTTAGTGTATCATTCATCAAAATCAGTTAGATGTCACATAAATGATTATATGCATTTGCATTCCTGGAGAAGGTAGCTTTAAGAATCCTCTTACTGCTTTTGAGAAATGTAAGACATGATTCCTGTTGCTGTGTTAATGTTAATAGCTGCACAGTTACATACTTTGAAACTATAGTGGTTTAATAACCACTACTAATGATAGCCCTGAGGTCCTGGAGGGGAGTAACACATGTCTTCTAAATCTTCAAGATAATAGCCTAGTTTTGTACATTTTAGCTAATGCTTTAAAAACAGCCATTCCATATATGTTATAGGTACTCTCAATCAAAAGATTACGTTATTTTAGCTGGATAACATTTAACTTTTTAAACTAGTGTTTTCTGGTGTAATTCAGATATATTGAGGTGAAACATTTTTATATAACTTTCCTAGAAAGGGGACGCCGAAATAAAAGCTAAGGAGGAGGCCGACAAATTCAAGAAGGAGCAGGAAAAAATTATGTTGCAGAATTTACAAGAAAGATTAGAAAGAAAAAAGGTAATCTCTCTCTCTCTCTCTCTCTCTCCCTCCCTCTCTCTCTCTCTCTGTCTTTGTTTTGAGGGTTGGATTCTTTGTTTAGAAAACAATGTTGGGCACATGATATGAAAATCATTGTTTTTCCATTCTACTCTTTTCTTCCTTAGCCAAGGATCTGACCTCTCCTACCTACAAGGGTCTCCTTTTATTGACCACACCCATCCCTCATTGACCAGTGGTGGCCATTACAGCAAACCTCTGGGAACAAAGCTCCTTTAAACAAAATTATTCAGGTCATGGTATGGGTTGGTGGAAATAAGGTTTTCTTCTACCTGGGCTAGAAAGTGCAGGTCTCTGAGAGGCCAAGGTGCAGGCTTTTTGTATAGCAGGAGCTCATTTTGTGTAACTCATGTGCCTCATCTGGGAGCAAGGAAGGGCTCCAGTCCTGGCTGAGGTGTTGCAAGCCTCTGTCAGATCCATCACCTTGAGGAGGCCAGAGAGCTGCATCTCTCCTCACTTACAGGGAAAGAAGTGTATACAGGGAAAAAATTATTAGCTCTCCTATGTGTGTTCTCTTTCTAGTAACAAAAGCTCTGACAGTGTCGCATCTTTGGGGTACATTCTTGTCATTAACATCGGCCTCAGTCAGGGTCTGTTCATATTACAATTGTGTTTAAAAGTTCTGATTGGTTTGCAGTAGTATGTGCTTAGTCTAAGTAATGCATTTCAAAGTCTGCAAAATTAGGAGTGAGGAATCATTTGGATTTCTGTGTTACCAAAACAAGTACAGTTATCACCACTCAAGGCCACTGAGACCAGGACTGGAGGAAGGAATCAACTGCCACCCAATGTCTTGTGTTGGTTACGTGTGTGGCTTTGGAGCAGTCACTGATGGTATCCACTTCTGGAAAATGGGAGTAATCACCACTGTTTTGCATTTAATCTGTTTTCATGTTTGAAATTTTATTTTCCTTTAAATAGAGAATTGAGGAAATTATGAAGCGGACAAGAAAGACAGATTCGGACACCTCAAAGGTAGTCTCCATGCTCCTACTGGCAGTATATACAAATTCCTGCTGCTTTACATTCTTTTTTTAATGTTTTTTTTATTGATTTATGAGAGAGGAAGGGAGATGGAGAGAGATAGAAACATCAATGATGAGGAAGAATCATTGATCGTCTGCCTCCTGCATGCCCCCTACTGGGGATTGAGCCTGCAACCCAGGCATGTTCCCTGAGCGGGAATCGAACCATGAACTCCTGGTTCATAGGTTGATGCTCAATGCGCCACATTGGTAGAGCTCACATTCTTTTTAAGTTTTGCCATTTTGGTGGTAATGAAATAAAGCATCACATTGCATTTTTCTTGATATTAAAACAATTGAGCATATTTCTTAGATCTTTAGTTATCTTCCATGGTTTTTTTTTCTTGTGTGAAAATGCTTATTTAGGTCTTTTGCCCAGAACTTTTGGGCTAATTTGTCTTTTTCTTACTAATTTATAGTTCTGTAAATGTTCTAGATTCTACTTCTTTCCTGGTTATATGTATTACAGATAACTTCTCCCACTTTATGGCTGTCTTTTCTTAATGTCTTCATTTTTACATTGTTGAATTTATCAATATTTTTTGATGACTAATGGGTTTACATATGCTTATTGGCCATTTGGATATTTGGTTTTGTGAAGTGCCTTTTTTTATTGATATTGAGAGAGAGGAGGGGAGAGAGAGAGAGAGAGAGAGAGAGAGAGAGAGAGAGAGAGAGAGAGAGATGAGAGATAAACATTGATCCACTGCTCCCCGTACCCGCCCTAATCAGGAATCTAACCTGAGACTCTTTGGTGTATGGAAGAAGTGCCTTTTCAAGTTCTTTGCCCGTGTTTTTATTGAGTTGCCTGCCTTTTTATTGTAAGAGTTTTTTACTGACTTTAGTTATGAGCCCTTTGAATATAATGTATTGCAGATATCAGCCCCCATGGTGTAGTTTACTTCGCACTCTCATAATGTCCTGTGATCGACAGAAGTTAATTTGAACGAACTCAAATTTAACAGTTTCTTCCTGTATGATTAATGCTTTGGGGGTCTCTCTCAAGTATTTGCCTACCTCAGTGTCCTTTTTGATGGATCACATGCATTCAAGGCCTTTTCCTTCCAGATTCTATACTGTTTACCCTCTGTGCTATAAAAGTAATGTTTTGTCAACTGACCAGTTGATATAATTATGAAAGCTTAGAATAGAAATATCATTTCTGAAAAGTTCTGGGGGTCACCATCTCAAAGATCATTTAGCCCATTTGTCTGAGAATTTTACCTCCAGCAGCAGCCAAGAACTTTTTTTAGCTACTCCCCAGTTGCCCCCACCTTGGCTTAGTTCGGACTCAGAGCAGGATGAGACCGCATGCTAACCCAGAGCTCTTGGCTGTTGGCTCTCACTCAAGGAAGTCTTTCATTCTTGAGTGTCCTCCCCTAACTTAAAGACAAAACTAGGGCCATCTGTCCTATTTCCTGTAGATTCTCGGGACCAAAGAGTTTAGATTTTTTAAATCTTTACTTTGAAATGATGAAAATTAACCATCAATCCAGCCTTGAAATCTGTCTTCTTTGAAATAACTATGTCAGGATGATTGGATATTTAGATATAACCATAATTTTCTTTTTTCATCATAGGATGCACAAACATCCAGCAGTGACACATACGAGGAGCATGAGGCAGATGATGAGGATGAGCCAGAAAGTGATGATTTACATTCTTCTGATGACTTGCATCCATCAGGTTTGGTTGCCTTTTGAGTTGTTATTTTTTTAGTATTTTTATTGATTTCAGAGAGGAAGGGAGAAGGAAAGAGTGATAGAAGCATCAATGATGAGAGAGAATCATTGATCAGCTGCCTCCTGCATACCTCACACTGGGGATCAAGCACACAACCCAGCCATGTGCCCTGACCAGGAATCAAACTGTGACCTCCTGGTTCATAGGTTGACGCTCAATCACTGAGCCACAATGGTTGGGCAGTTGTTGTTGTTGTTTTTGTATATGTTTTTATTGATTTTAGAGGGGGGGGGAAGGAAGAGGGAGAGAGAGAGAGAAACATGGATGAAAGAGAAACATCAATTGGCTGTATCCTGCACGTCCCCTGCTGGGTATCAAGCCCACAACCCGGGCATGACCTCCTTGTTCATGGGTGGCCGCTCAACCACTGAGCCGCACCGCTGGGCACCTTTTGAGTTTTGTTAGTCACTATTTAAGAGGTAAATTGCATTGGTTCATCCAAGACTGCTCTGCTTCTGAGCTGTTTGGCTAAGGGCAAGTTACTTAATCTCTCTGTGTGCTCAGTTTTCCTGTCTGAAAAAGGAGAAGCTATTGTCCTTCTAGGGTGAGCATGAGATTACAATGAGATAATCCGTGTAATGCTAAGAGACTAGTGCCTGACACATAGTAAATTCTCAATAAATATTAGCTCCTGCTGCAGTGTCTGTTGTTATTTTATAGGTTGTGCTAAAAGACTGTAGATGGCAGCTCTTTCTCAGCTGAATATGAGTTTTACTAACATTTCATAGCTCAGGGCCTCCTCCGGCATCTATGATTGACCACAGGTGGAATACTACTTTCTAAGTCATTGCGAAAAATTAAAATCATGTCATGATTATGAGTGCCCTCTAAAATGTATTATTGCTTCCCTTATGAGTAGGAACCACTTTATGGCAACAGTAATTGGCATCTGAGAAAACACTGTTTGTCCACCCTTTTTCCCAGAAGTCAGGCCCTCTACTAGGTACAGGGATACAGAGATGAAGAGCAGGGCCCTTAGCCTTGAGGAACCATAGCTGATGGGAGGCAGACATATGAGCAAATAATGATTCTGCCACAAGCTGGTTGCATTAAAAGAAGTTTGGCAAAATGCATGAGAACATAGCAGTAGGAGCAAGGTAGGTATAGGGTCTGCCTTAGGGCATTGGAAAGGGTAGGAGGTGGCATTGGAAGTGAGACTGAAATAAAAGGTGGAGGCAGAATTGGGTAGGTGGGTAATCAGAAGGAGGGGTAAGAAGCATGGTTAAGTCCTATCCTCTGGCCTGGCATTATTTCTTGCCAAAGGAGAAAGGGCAAGTTCCTTAAAGGTGGCCCCTTTGTGCTCTAAGGGCAGTGCTGGCAGGTGTGCTGGGCAGCAGCCTGGACCATGTTTGAGAAAAGTAGAGTAGTTTGGTGGCTGCTGGGCCTGCCTCTCCAGCGTACTCCCATGATTCTTCCTGCCATCAGACATGGTCGGTCCTTCCCCCAGCCTATCAACATCACAGCCTTTGTTCTTGTCTTTGTTGTTGAAGCTCTAGTTTTAATCTTATTCCTTTTTTTTCTAGCCTTTACAAATGGCATGAATTCATCCATAAAACTCAAGAAAAGTTCTAGAAATGTGAAGAGCACCCCCAGACTGCTGTCTTTAGAAGTCAGTTCTGACAAAGTCTGTACAAAGACAAGAGCATCTTTAAAAAATGACATAAAAAACGTCAGACAAAAAGTGAAAGACCCTTTGGCTCAGGCCAAGAGTATCAGGTTAGTCACTCAGCGAGCTTTTCAGAATAAACTTGGTGTTATTATGATTGACATTCTTAGAATGATACATGAGATTATTGACTGAGCTCTTAACTTGTACCAAGTGCTATTTTAAGCACTTGTCTTACAGAAACAAACTAATCCGCACAGCAGTCTTGTTAGGTAGTGTTAGCATTCCCGTCTTTACAGATCAGGAAACTGAGGCATGGAGAGATTATGGGTCTTATTTGCCCAACATCCCACTGTTCCAGGGCAGAGCCCAAATTCACACTCAGATACATCTGACTCCAAACTGTGATTTGTTCACACTGGTTAATGTTGTCTCATAAAATCAGGGAAGGGGTCATTGATTCAATGACTGCTGTATGCCAGTTATTTTACATAACCTATTTTAATTATCATTTCACTTCTGAGTTTGATATTAATGACCTCATTTTACATATGGGGAAACTGAGGGTCACAGATTAGGTCGGAAGAGTGGGAACAGAGTCTAGAAAGGAAGGATCTTTGGGCGATTACTTGGAAGACATTAACCTACAAGGCCCATGGAAACATTCTGCTAAGAGACAAAGTGATGGTTTGGAAAGAGCACTGGAGCTACAAAACCCATGTTAGTCCTCACTTCACCTTACTGGCCATGTCCTGGATCATCTTGAAGTAGGGACAGGGTTCCTGCAGCCTTCACACTTAACTGCTCCATTAGCATGCCCATGGAACCTAGGACTTTGAAGGACACAATTTGAAAACCAGAATGTTCTGCGATCTCCAGGGCCCCTTCCAGCCCTCCCATTTTATCATTCTGAAAGTTCATTTACTTCCAAGGTATTTCTTAAAAGTTTATTAAAATATAAAGTTGCTTTCAGGATGAAGCTCTGGCTTGGGGATAATCAAGATTCTAACCAAAACATCTCTTTCCAGGCTGTCCATCAAAAGAATGACCAATCAAGTAACAAAAACTGAAAAGATAGTTGAAACCAGCAACACCATGGTACCATCCGAAAGTTTACATTCAGTGTCACAGGAATGTCTGTGTGACCAGATACTAGATAGCACTCGCAAGATCGATCCACTCATTTCTAGTAACCTTCCTGATAGCCAAAAACACCATCTGAAAGGTTCCACAACATTCCACCAAAGTCCCCAGGCAAAAATAGAAAAATCTGATTCTGCTTGATCAGGTAAGGCTTTTTTTTTTTTTATCCCATCTTCATTTTGTTTCCAAGACCATTGACCTTGAGCAATCCTGCTTCCTGCTGTTGCAGGGCCACTTTGGCACCATGTAACTTGGGAGGTGAGGGAGAAGACAGTGGTGGATCTAAAAGTTACATTGATGCCGAAGACTCTTCCATCGAGTTAGTTTTTAGAGTAAATTAAATGACTTGATTCTAATTTAATGTCCTGCATTTCCTGCCAGATAATGCAAAGTAGGTTCTTTTCACACCGGCTCTTTTACAGATGATCATTTAGGGCAGAGTGTTTATGAGGGCTGTGGAATTTGCCTCTCAACCTGTGTTTCCAAAACCAAAAGACCTTCGTTTTTCTTTCCTTGAGAAGCTCTCTTTGAAGTTGAGAGGCAGCATGGGCTTGTTTGGGGGTTGGGGATGTTGAGAGCATTTATAAGAGTACCAGTGTGTCAGCAACTCCAAAGGGGCCGCTGAGGGTACCAGACCCACCCTGAAGGAAGAAAGGCCAGGGCCCAATTGCTGTGAGACCAGCACCTTCTCTACTAATTTTCTTTCTTTTCTTTTTCCCTCTGGTCAGACATGTAAACCTCATGCAGCCTAGAAGAGAATTTATCCTTCACTCTGGGTTTCAACTTCTAGGCCCATCTCCCCAAATTACTCCACCTCCGACTTGAACCAAGCAAAGAAAATAACTAACAAAAGGGAAAACAACAAAAAGTCATTTTAACAAGTCTCAGAAGATGCTCGCTCACTTATGTCATCTTGAAATCCACAAGAAAGGGTTCTTAGTAAAAAGTTGTTGTTTTCCTGTAAAAATTTCCATTGTATCTCATTGTATTTTCCTGCCAACACGTGTTTGAGTGTGCATTGAAGCTGTGTTTATAAACTAGTAACTCATATTTCTAAAAGAATCTCTACTGAAAGAATAATATTCTCTCAGTACATGTTGGAAATCTTAAAATAATGTTTGTTCTGTTTAACAAAAACTCCTGTTTGATCTTGTAGAGAACATAATAGGTTATGTGAAGGACTCAAGATTGCTCACAAGAGCTATGTTGGATTATTTTTAATATACCAATACCAAAGGTTGCAAAATAGAGTAAAACATATGTTATCATTATATATGTCTATTTTTAACCTTGCCAGCTAAGTACACAAGCAGTGATGCCCCCAAATGCTAGGAGTCCTAGAAGGTCTGATCTTGGAACAATTCGGATATTTTGTTCTCTTATCAGTATTTCCTTTTGGAGTACATAGTAGGGTTTATCTACAAAAGCATGTATTATTTTTATTGTGTACATAAAGCAGTATTTGGCTGTTGTCTGGTGGGATATGTTTAATTCCTCTAAATGTTTACTGTGTATATAATCTTTTTTTGTTTATACCCTCCAGTCCTGCCCTTCAGTATACACCCAGACTTGGGATATGGAACCAAAATTTGCTTGCCTTTCTCTAACCAGTGGCTGCAAGTGAGTACAGGAGCAGTGTTATTCTTTAGTCCTTGTGATAGAAAGGCACACATGCATGCACACACACAGGATGTATATTTGCTGAAATGCATTGAGTCCTGATTAAAAGTATTGACTAAAACTTGCCCTGGCCGGTGCTCAGTGGTTAGGGCATCAGCCCGAGCACCGGAGGGGTCGCAGATTCGATTCCCGGTCAAGGGCATATGCCTGGGTTGCAAGTTGGCACCCCATCCCTGGTCGGGGCACCTGCAGGAAGCAACCAGTTGATGTATCTCTCTCACATCAATGTTTCTCAATCTCTCCCTCCCTCTCTCAAGCAATGGAAAAAATATCCTCAGGTGAGGATTAAAAAAGAAACAACAAAAAACTATTGACTAAAACTTGAATGCAATTTAGTTGTCCTAATGCTAGTGAGTTTTCTGGCTTATCACAAATAGTTTGAAATAGGCCCATGTTTCTTTGTAGTCACCAGTCTTGGATTAGTAAAAGGAAGTAATTATTCTTTCTTGTTTCTTAGTTCTTTGCTATTCAGAGTACTATATCTTTTGTTACAGATTAGAGCTTGATGCCTTAGATTTTAAAACTATTTTCACATGCTAGTTCTTTTATATAGGAGGCAATCATCCTAACAATATTTCTGATATTTTTCCGCACGAATGTTACATATTGAAACACTCTGTTATACCTCCATATAAATGTGTGCTCTGTGAAATAAACTTTGCAGATAAAGTCAAGTTTTCTTCTCATTATAATAACACAAAATGTACTGGTGGAAGTATAGAGGTGACACCAGCTGTTAACCAAGCCATGAGCACAGGCAACCAACAAGTTCAGTAAGCAAATCCTCTGATGCTTCTCTCCAGCTAATCAGGGATTTGGCAGAGTTCCCCTTGTGGGACATCAAGATGTGAATTTCAAAACACTGGTCTTCCTGAACCTATTCCAATGCTTGTTACTCTTTCCTGTGTTACTCTATACTTGAAGCCAGTGATTAAAGTACCTTTCTTTTTACTATGGTGAAATTCACATAAGTCACTATTTAGTGGCATTTAGTACTTTCAGTGTTGTGCAGCCATCACCACCATCTAGTTCCAGAACATTTTCATCACCCTACAAAGAAACCCTAGACCCTTTACACAGTCATTCCCCATTCCTCCTAGTCCTTGTGAGTGTGCTCAGGCAGTGATTATACTGTTATATACCCATCTCTCCATGACATCACTTACTATGCGTGGTGAGACCAGTGTTCTGATCTGCCTATAAAGGTTGTTTGCAATCTTGAAACATGTTCTACTCCACTAGCTATTGTATTCTGTAAGGTAAGGTCCTGTTTATCCTCAGTCTTTGCGGTCTGGTGCTTATGAGAATGGTAGCAGCCATTCCCCACTTGGCATTCCATTCTGTTGGTCTTTCTGTTGGAGCTGTTGAATTAGGATATCCCCTGGTGTGCACACAATATGAAATGCAGTCACATCACCTTGCTTACAGCTGTGAAGTGATGGACATGATCTAGATTCCCCCTCCTGCCCTGGGCTGGTGCCCTTGAACATGTTAGGGGACACATTGGTTGCCTCCAGTTTCCCTTTCTCTCTGGATATTATCTTGGTGTCCTCTCCCCTGTGGATTCTGAGGATGACCACATTTCTTCCACCTATGTCATGAACACTGTAAAGCCTTTTAAAGGCTCCCTCTAATCCCTGGCAACCACAAAGTGCGGTAAGGGACACTAGAACGGGATCTGAAGACCTGAATCTTAGCCAAGGCACCTGTGTGTGTGCATAAGTTATGGCCAGGTGATTGTGTATGTTATGGCCCGTCTGACCCCTTTAATCTGGCAGAGAGGGGGGCTGCAGTACAATATCTGTAGACCCTTTCATTCTCATGCTGAACAGTCACTAACTCATTTTGGCAACAGCTGGAGGTTTGGGACTAATAAAACAGTAGCAAGTGTCAAGAAGCAAAAGCCTAGAGGCATACTGTCACATTTTATCAGGTCAATTCCCTGTGTCACTTTCAGTGCCCCCCACCCCTAGGTCTGGTTTGTTGAAGCAGGCCCCAGAAAGGCTATTTTGTCCTTGGTCTTCCCACCAGTCCAATTCCAGTGTTTAATAATTTCCTCAACTATCTATAATAATAAAAGCGTAATATGCTAATTAGACCAGACGTCCTGGACGAAGCCGGGGCTGCAAGGGAAGCCCAGGTCCCGGGTGCCAGAGGGAAGCCAGTGCCAGCAGCCAGGGGAAGGAAGGCTTACTCTTGCCCGAATTTCATGCATGGGGCCTCTAGTGTTATAAAAACTAAAGTTTGCACATCCTATATGCCAGGTACTTTATAGGCATCACTTCAAACCCTTACAACAGTCCTATAAGGTGTGGTTATTCATTTTTACCTGGGATGACACTGAGGTTTGTGGATATTGGTACACTCAACCAGGAAGGCAGAGCTGATCAATCCTAAGTCTGTCTGATTATAAAGCCAACACCCATATTGCTTGGGGAGTGAGAACAGTGTCCTGTGGCTTGCATGGTAGTTAATAAACTATCTCTGGTGATGGAGATAAAATAAATGCTTAAAGTTTATTGAGTGCTTATACTGGTTATCAGTCACCCTGCTGAGCACTTGCATTATGAAATCTGCATGTAATTCTGCAAGGTAGGAATTCTAAGTCTCATTTTACAGGTGAGGAAAAAAGCTCAGATAGGTTAAGTAACTGGCCAAAGGGCTCATAACTTTAAAACAGCAGGGTGGCCAGGATTTGAACCCCAGAAGTTGGGCTCTACAACCGACTCTGTTAACAAGTAGATATGTTCATTTTTTGCACATTTCTTATTTTTTTTATTTCAACATTTAAAATGTTCACAGATGGAGTAGTATATTCATTGATATCTCCATGGAAGATATACTAAACAAAGCATACAGGTATTCCACAGTTACAGAATTACATACTTGTGGCTGGAAATATTTACCCCTAGAATTTATCTGGAAAAACACCACTAAAAAATACTAAAAAGTTTTGAGTGTTTTACTGAATTATTTCCATAAAAAGTGAATAGCAAAGAGTATCAGGAGAGATACCTAAATACTAGCTAGCACTTCTAATTTTTTTTTTAATTTTTTAAAATAATAGTTTATTTTTTTAGAGAGAGAGGAAGGGAGAGGGGAAAAGTGATAGAAACATCAATGTGAGAGTACAACATCGATTGGCTGCCTCTTGCACACCCCCTACTGGGAATTTAGCCCACAACATGGGCATCTGCTCTGACCAGGAATCAAACCAGCAACCTCCTGGCACACAGGATAATGCCCAGCCAACTGAGCCACACCAGCCAAGGCTAGCTAGAACTTTTTGAATATTTCAAACTTTTATAGTACTCTTCTAACATGCCCATGTCAGGAACACTTAATTCTCAATTCTTTTTCTTTTCTCCTCAATAGCCAAGGCCCAAGATGTACATACTTTTTGTTTTCAAGTTTTTTTTCTCTCTCAAAAAACATTATTTGGAATAGGTTGATCATCACAGGATCTTGACTAGCTAATGAGGTAGGAACTGTCTTCAAAAGACATTCTTAAGCATTTATGAAGCAAAACAAAAGAGAATAATCAAATTATATATAGTGTTTTTAGTGGTTCTTTTAATAAAATGCCAAGAGCATTGGACATAGGTCAAAAGCTGCTTGTACTTTAAAAGACAAAGAGTAAAACCCAATTAGAAAAGCCCTGCTGCTGAGTACATTCAAGGGCTGGTATTAATTAAATTCAGTTTGGCATTACACTGGAAGAAATGGCTGCACCCAAATGCCAAGCTTTCTTCCTGAAGAAATCTTAAGATAAAGTTTAAACAGAAAACAAAAGTGCCCTTTCAGTACAAGTTAATTTGGCTCTTATTTTAACCCAGTTTTCATCCTTTCCTACACACACACAAAAAAATAATTTCTATATACTGCATATCTAGTAAATATATTTTATTGATTTTTTACAGAGAGGAAGGGAGAGGGATAGAGAGTTAGAAACATCGATGAGAGAAACATCGCTCAACTGCCTCCTGCACGCCCCCTACTGGGGATGTTCCCGCAACCAAGGTACATGCCCTTGACCAGTATCGAACCTGGGACCCTTCAGTCCGCAGGCCGACGCTCTATCCACTGAGCCAAACCGGTTAGGGCTCTAGTAACACTATTTAAATGAATTTAGCAGTCAACAAATTTGCCTTCCTTATATGAAGGTTTAACTTATGACATAAGCTAAATAGCTAGAAAATGCCTATGTAATAATAGATTTCAGCACCATCTCTCTATTAGCAGATGTTTCAAAATGCATAGACTCCTTAAATTCATATAAACCTAGGAAATGCAACCATTATCCCCTCTCCATCTACACCAAAATCAAAATTCTGTGTTCTAACTACCCTTTCTGTATATATAAGGAATACTTTAAAAATCTCCCCAATTAAGTTAACAGGACAAAAATGTTTACAAAAAAGGGAAAGTTAACAAGTATGATTTGTCTAAAACATTATTTGAACACTTTGGTATCTATTAGTTGATGAAGGCTAAAATACCAGAAGAGGATTTCTTTATTTCCCCAATTACGCACTGATTAGGGTTACTGCTAAAAGCACTAAAATCTAAAATGTAGAAAAATAAGGTAGAATAGCTACCAGATAAATTGATAACTATATATGGCCTAGCAGATGGTTTTGAAATCAAGTCTTTGTAATTCCATAAAATGTTTTAGATATAGTTAGCAATCCAACTTAGTATAATAGTGCAACTCTGATATGGCAGTAGCTATTTTTATTTTTATTTTAGCTATCAAAAATAATTTGTCAACAAGGATTATTTACATATTTTTAATCCTTTCTTTTTACTATTCTATCTAGAATTGTGTCCTATCCATGTGATCAAAATATAATTTAGTTTGAAGAGAATCCCTGCCTTCTTTAACTGCTAATAGTTCCTTTACATTTTTTTTCCTAAGGCACACCATGCCCTGTCTATTGCTGCCAAGTCCCTGAAACTTGTGCCTCAATCTGTGTCTTTGTCATCATGGTTCAATGAAAATCATATCAGAATGCCTGCTAAAAGCTTAGTAACATTTAAGTCCAGTAGATTAACTGCAAAAGACCCAAGCTTACTGAAGCAAAGGCCGAAAAACCCAAGTATATGCTCTTTCCCCTAAACCAGCGGTTCTCAACCTGTGGGTCGCGACCCCTTTGGTGGTCGAATGCCCCTTTCACAGGGGTCACCTAAGACCATCCTGCATATCAGATATTTACATTATGATTCATAACAGTAGCAACGTTACAGTTATGAAGTAGCAACGAAAATAATTTTATGGTTGGGTCACAACATGAGGAACTGTATTTAAAGGGCCAGAAGGTTGAGAACCACTGCCCTAAAAACTGACCACATTGCCTACTATAACAGTAAAGCATAGTGATATCTCTGGCTATATATAATCCATACTTAATGTTATAAAGTAAAATGTTTGGCCAGTAAGCTTTCAGAATTTTTATTAAATCCTAGTCTAATTTAACAATATCTGATTTTATAGACATCCTATGGGTGATGTTTAATAAGTGAAATCAGACATCTAAATCATTTTGTACAGACTAAGCAATCCTATCTAATAAAGATGTAATATGCAAATTGACCATCACTCCAACACAAGATGGCCACCCCCATGTGGACACAAGATGGCCAGCAGGGGAGGGGAGTTAGAGGCGACC